ACTTACAATCGTATAGCGATCCAATGAAGCACAATTGTGCCTGTATTTTTCGGCAGCCCACTGTATCATCACCACGCCTTATATAGACACGATAAACACAGATAGGCAATATGATTTAGCATGGCATGCCAATCCTGTAGCTTATTGGTCTTTGTTTGCTAGCACTGCGAGTCAGTTTTATCGAACGACCATGTTATTTTGAAGTTGAGTGAACAACTGTGGGAAAAGGCGTACGTTCTCAAGGCTTTGTAATAATATGTGTTTCTATCCGCAAATATTATTATGAGAGCAAAGTGACACGTACCCGTCGCAGTTTGGCAGCTGGTAGTGGATTTTGTAGCCGTTTTAAGTAGTATTAATTTTGATCAAATTATTGCCCTCACAGTAAGGTACGGAAATTCCTTTTAGTATTTCCACAACAATCTTGGGTTCTCATCTAGTCTTGAACAGCCAGTCACCCACCCTTAGATGCAGACTATCATGATTCGCAGTCCAAAAAGATCGAGTCGATCATTAAAAATACAATTACATGCATGTAGTGAGAGTCACGACTATTTGTACTCCTTATACTGCATGCTTCTCAGGGACAATGAGATGGTAAGTCAAGAAGGTTATCGCAACAGTACTACGCTATAATGAATGAATTGTGAACAACAGAAATTCAGGGCATGTATTTATCTAGATAATCATCATGGATGCAAATCGTCTTGCGTTCAACTAGCATTCTGCAAATAGAGATCCAACTGATCTCGGCAAAAATTCATGTAGTCAATATGGTACATTTTCCTTTAACAAAGACTTGTGATCCCGGGGTATTGTGACAATCGGTATCGACCTCATTTTAAGGCCCGCTGCGCCGGTTAATAATTATTCTATGTACGGTCAAGAGCATTTGTTATATATTGGCGGTAGTCTTGAAAAAGCTCTGCAAGCAACCCAGCCACATTGCTAGATGAGGCTTGGGCGAGGTTTGGGTGAGGAATGGGTGAATAGGTTACTATTTGCACCACTGCTTTGTTCGGGCTCCAGAGCCTATTGTCTTAGATATGGGGTGGACATATTCGAGCGTAGAAACCAGAGTCCGAACAAAGCAGCCTTTTGGGAGGCTGGGCGGGGCGCGAAAAAAGTTCGAACGGCGACCTTCTGGGCCAAAACACGAGAAGATAACACAAACCTGAATTACCTTACGTTTCTGCTTTACCTTACTGTTCATCCTTGCCACAGCCGGATTAAACTGCTGATATATTCTCTTTCGGTACAAATGCCAAAAAAAATCATTTTATTCACAAGACCACTATTATTGAGGGTATCTTCGAGTCAACGTCAAATTCTTACGGAGAATCAGTGGCTTTATGCGACCGAACAATATAAGGTGCCTTGTGCGCTAAAAAAAAAATCCCCGAGAAGTCTTGCAAGCATTCAGCCGTGAACACCATTCCCTTTTTCGTGTAACTTGATTGATTGCGGATCGGTTTTCTGTCTAGGGTTTCTGGGTTAGAGATACAAGTGCAAACAACAAGGGTAATACTAGGGTTTCGTGTTTGTTGATTAACAAACGCAGAATGGTTGGGCTCACATCAAATAATTTGTCATAAAGTTTGCCACAATAATCAACTGAGAATTCATTTTAAACATTTTCAACTTGCTGCTAGAGGGCGCTCTAACGTCGTATCACGTCACCCGTAACTTTGTTTGTAAAGTACAACCTAGCCAGAAACTGACAGCAAGTTCAAATCTTTTTCCACTTTTAAATTATATGGCACTTCTGGTTTGTACCGGAAGGAAGGGTCATGTGATTTTGCACATAATGTCAAAAAAGACCCTGGATTATTTTATTAATTCCCGTGAAAAGGACTTCTGGAAATATGAAAATTATGATGAATCGAATTTATTAGAAACCCCTAACTTGCCGTTTGATAAAACCCCAAGGTCAAGAGTTTATCGGACATCATCATTTGTGCTATGAACATAGTCATTAAACACGGACTATTGATGGATTTGAAATTACAAAAATTTAAATTCTCCCATTAATAACTTCCGGTCTGATTACGTCATGATTCTGAAACCTTGCAAAGTAATTTGTTGTTGCTTAAGTCTAGGGGCAATTTGGTAAAATTGTGACAACGGGGTTTTTTTATGGAAAAAAAACCCAAATAATTAACCGTCTTTGATATGCCGCTAGAGGGCGTCCTTTTGAGCGATGACGTCATCTTGCTTTTATCTCCCAAGTCTTAACGAGATATGCATAAGCGAATCTACGAGCTCTGATTGGATTCCACAGTCAAGGAATCATTGTCACTTTCCTGATCCTTGAAGGGATCATTTTCAATCCCGTAAACATAATCCTCTCGAAAGTTCAAGAGCTTTTGAGCAAAAGATATCAATCAGATGTTGAAAATATTCGTTTAATTTAATTGTCGATAAAAGTGGGCCTCCCCCTTCTACCAGAGTACTAACAAAAGGGAAAATTATAAGACGAAAATGTGGAGAACAGAAAATAAATACTTTGGCACCATGTCTGAAATACACATTAATTCACACTTTAAAAAATTACAAAAGGCATAGATACTCCCAGAAACAAGCGTGCATTTCAAATCGCACTTATTAAGGCAACGCCAGTGTCCCTTCTCAATCTTGACGAGAAACCACTGCCGTTGTTGCATGTCGACCGTGTTACACAAAGGGTAACGCGTACTTTGCGACGAAAAAGAAACAAAAATAGAATAGGCGGCTTTTGACATTTTTGGTTGGCTTAAATTGTGCTTCATTGAACTATACAACTGGAATTATTGATGGGTTCATAAAATAAATTTGTTTTGAATGCTGCTCAATTGACAATGGACAAGAAATTGAGGCAGGAAGCAGGCAGTTAATGGTGTTTGCTCTCTTTGCTTTGTTTTTTTTGGAGTACCTGCATTATAAGTCATGAAGCTCACTATTCTGCGAGATATTTAGGAAATCATGGGTTTTATCATGGCCCAATTGTTAGTTTTTAATTAACTTGATATTATCAATTATATTAGTCATTTTTGGAGTCAGTATTTGCATTTTCACCCCCAATATGAACATTGTACCGGATATTCGTATCTGTGATCATGGGCGTCGCCAGATTTTTTTTTTAACAGTGGGGCAAAGCATATTTTCCCACAAAAACCTTATATTATCCAGCATTTTCCCGATTTATAAATTTTTTCGAGGTTGGGCAGGGACATTTGCCCCCCCCCCCAAACAATCAATTAAATTAACATCAATATGACTCGCGCCTCTTTTTGTCCCTTTCCACCTTTTTTTCCCCTCCTCTTTTTGTTTTTTGCTTGTCCGGGGGGGGGGGGGGGCTTGCCTCCCTCGTGACGCCCATGTCTGTGATACAAACATAGTTTTTGGACAGGGATCAAATGATGGATTTGAATTTAAAAGAAGAAAACATCATCTTCAAATTCTCCCTATACCATAACTTCTGGTCTGATTACGTCATGATTCTGAAACCTTGCGAAACTATTTGGTTGTTAAAAGAAAACACATTAGGGGCAATTTGGTAAAATGTGGAACAATGGTTTTTTTATCTCTAAAGTTAAACAGTCTTTGATGTTCTGTTTGAGGGCACCCTTTCGGTTGATGACGTCATCATGTATTTTGTGTTTGGCATTCCTCACGGAACTCTGCAATAAGTATTTTGCTTGTCGGTAGTAAAATCCGGTTTTTTATTTTTAAACTCATGGTTCACATAAATTATATAAAATTTGGCCTTAAATCGCTTGCAATTTGATACCATGATGACGACATGACGACGCCACAAAATTTAAAATATCTTCGGATCTTCGGAAATGATTTCGACACCGGATGTCGTCATCTTGTCTGTAAACTGTCGTCACTCTTTTAAAATATATCAGGATCTCAACAAGTCAGACAGCACTTCCAGAGCTCTGACAAAACATATGCAGGGAGTGATTAAAAAACGCAATAGATACATGTAATTAATTTTACCTTAAAAAAGAAAGAACAAACACACTTTTCCCGATTACACCCTTTATCGAGCCCCTGGGAACTATTATACAAATGAGAAACATTCGTTAATGTGCAACATTAATTGTTTTATATCAACGCCTGAATAAATCCTTATCATCTGCTCGGCACGATCAGAGCCGCCTGAAGCGTGACCGTGCAATGGAACCTCAATTTACCGTGGATTTGCACGAATAATTCAATGACACGTGATCAGATGACGTTGTATACGCCAACACGCCCACACTAATCAGGGGACTCGTGTTATATGTGAGCAATGAGCCCGAGTCAAGGTGTTCTATCCTTTAGCGCGTCTAGTTATTGATGCGAGCTTTCTCATCACCATTTTCCAGTCTGCGAGCCGCAGGTGAGGTCTACATTCACAGGCTACAATTTACGTTATTTGGTAAGGAAACATATTTCACTTCTAAATAGCCAAGACGAATACTGGTTGTGCAGTACATTTCATTGATACTGAAAACACTGCAAAGAAGTTCTTTGTCTATCGTATAGTTTCTGCAGTGTACTGTCAGAGAAGAACGACTTTATGAAATGCGATAAATGATGGTTTCTCTTCAGAGGCAGCGGGTTCAGAGACGTTATACATGTAGTATTCGTCCTTTACTTTCTTTGAAAACGGAATTTTGGTTAGGTTTTCAGACTTGGCAAAATGTATTATAAACCTCTTGATCAATTCTACCTCACCACGTACAATTATGCAAACGACTTATAATTAAACTGTCAAAGTGTTGTTACCAGTACTTTACACACATTACGTGTTACCCGTTACAAAAGCAATAACGTGAAGGTATTTTGAAAAGAGACGAACTGCGCCTATTAAGGTATGTTTTTGGATAGAAATTATAACTGGGATCAGGAAATACAATTATATCAATATTGTCGTGGTATTATGTGATATGTGGCCCAATTTTACCTTTTCAAATAAACCTTTTTTAAATTTTAGACACTGCAGTCTTTGAGTCGTTGTGCCCTTAAAGATGGGGAGGGCGTGGACATGGCTGGTTCCTCCCCTCCTCGCTGTGGCTCTACATTTAGTGTGCTACACACCTGTGTTGTCCCAAAACTTCCCGGACGGTAAGTCTGTTTCAAAACTTCGATTAAACCAGCTTTCATAAATACCTAACACAGTTTACCCATTCCTATGTTCGAGAGCCCGTCACGTGGCCGGTTTTATACGTTTGATAAAGACCGGCATTGCTGGTCGAAATCACTTTTTCAGCGTCACATGACTCCTATGAAATTCGGTGCCTTTTAAGTAACCGTTTTATTGGTCGAACGTTCTTACCATAATATAGCTGTAGGGGTAACGTAAAGCATGAAGTAAAACTGTTAAACAAAATCGTTGGCAATTTAGAATTTTGGAATCATTTTGACTTTTCGACCGAAAACGTTTGATTTATCTACCGAAAAGGCATTTATGAATGGAAATAAATATGTGCGTGGCCGATATCAGACACTATGTTTAAGACCAGTTGGAGTCTAGATGCTGATAATTACTCGTCACGCCTTCGGCTCGGGTAATTATCAGCATCCAGACTCCAACCGGTCTTAAACAGAGTGTTTAAAACCAGCCAAGCACGCGTTTATATTCCCTTATCTTATGCGTACACGGATACACTCTATACACAAAATAAACTGTATTATGCCCATTTTATTCTCCATTGGTGAAACGCTAATGTCTAAGACGGATGTTTAAAGATACAGCGTTCGTTCAGTTTACGCTAAGATGTACTGGAAAAATCAACAAAACAATCAAGTTCCCATTTTCCCGTATTTCATAAGATATGAATTTCATTCCTTTTGAGCGAAACTTTACATTGTCGGAAAAGGGTTTTATTAGGGTTTGTCTATTAGTTCATTACGCACATACACATCATCTCGTTCACTGATTTTTGTGTATTTTTTATTTTTACTTTGTAACCAATTTTTTTTAATGTAGAAAAAGCCAGCAATTGATGTATTTCCAATGTCTCTATCACTGAAACACAGCATTAACAAAGAGAAAAAAAGAGGAATGTCTTTGTGATCCCCGGATACTGAGTGACCAGTTACTACGACATTCTTATCTTGAGCTTGGATTTTGTCTCGTTTGTTCGGTTGTACGTTGATTCTGCAACAAATGCTTGGGTTTATGGTCTTGAGTTCTGTGTGATCCTAACAACCACAGTCAAAACACATCTAGCTCTACTTTGGGAGAAATGACTGCAAATAATTTCGTTACCTAAAACACAGGTCGATCCTGAAAAGATTTTTATTCGCTGTATAGCAGGTCAAGGTTATTTTCCTGTAAATGTAATCATTTCGACGATTTTTCAGTCGCACCAAAAGGTAGCGCTTAATGTGGCTGTATAGCCGCATTTTGACTTGATAAATCCTGTTTATTTTCCTTTTGTCTTGCAAATTTGATCACCTACGCACTTAAATGCCTCATTGAAGCGTTAGCATTGTGACTGCTTGTAATGGCCTGGTAGAGAAGTACTCAATCGGAGCATTGACAGATGGGCTAAATAATGGGGAGAGAAAGACAAAAAGATCGGATGTTTTCTCACCATTAGTTGTCTTCGGTTCCGAGCATGATTTATAATGGACCCGTCAGTTTTAATTAGTCGAACATAAGCCGGGAGCAAAATCACTTAAGTGGGCTCTAGGCCGATTTGTTTAACGAGAGCAAGTAATTAATTTAAGTCTGATAACCATGACAAGCTGTGCTTTCATATTAACAGAAAAATCAACAATGGCCAGGGTTATAATGGAACTATTTGTTATATGAATGGCTAGTCTTAATGCGTACACAAACAATAATTAGGAAATATATGAAAGACGCCTTCGACAAGGAACGATGATGGAAATGACAATATTGAACTGTAATCGCGTGACTACTGGTAATCGGAGCTGCCAGTTGTCCAATTCAATATTGTCATTTCCAAGTGTGCAATGCATTGAAGTAAGGGTGCACATATCAGAACCAAGGGCGTAGCCATTGACCTTTAACAAGGTTATTCATGACCAAACGTTTCATGCATACTAAAATTAATAGTAAGTGCCAGGATGTAGGAAATACATTCTACATAAAAGTGCCACCAAGCGGCGATAGAACCCCAAAGTAAGGAACATAAAATGTTCCTTGCTTTACGTAAATTCAAGTTGACTCTCAACCGAATGGGATACATTTCTGCTGTCACACAAGGTCAGGTTAATAAAAGTTGAAAACAAGAACAATACCTATATACCAAACGCTTGCTCAATTGCTTGAGTGCAAATAATAATGAAAACGATCCAAACCAACAATCTCTCATTGCGGAAATCTGCTCCCAACTGTACACAACATCCTTCGGACGTTCTATCATCTCTATCAAGGTTTTGACTTTTGAAGTAACACCATTTCTCCAAAATAGCTTGGTTTCGATCGATTCAACACTATTATAATTTAATTCAGTTTGATTTCCAATTGGCGTTTTCAATTTTGAAAACTTACGAAATATACTTTCCAGTGATGGCATTAAACAGGCACTACGAAACTACAGTCGACAAAAACCACTCCCCTCCAATTGCTAGTCTAATGTACCCAAACAAACAACTTTCGACTGCGTTAGTTTGGTTTTGGTTTCTTGATCAGTACAGACCAGGCGACGGACGGAAGCTTTTTTCTCCTGACGTCGTGATTATCCTGTGAAGGACAAAATACATTAATTTAGCAGGCAGATCACTACCGATCGGTTGCTCTTTCATCTTGACTGTACGTTATTAGACGGAAGTATTCGCCCCCTGAGAACCCGTCCACGTTCATTATTCATACGAATCTAGATCGCGGCTGATCTGTTAACTTCAAGTAATTCGGTCACGTCTTGTCAGTTACCGTCAGCACCACCACCGTTATTGTACAAGTACCGCCCATTTCTCAGGGAAATCTGGACACACAGCCACGACAGAACAAAACGTTCGTGACAGTGGCGTAAATCCGTGTCGGCGAGTGGGAGAAGTGGGGTGTGTTGGTGTTTGTTTATGGTGTAAATCGAGGACACACACGTGCAGCGTCATCGGCGATTTCTAATTCATTCGTATGTTGTGAGATTCGTCTCATCTGAAGATTGGCGTTGAGCTGAAACAGCTAATACTGTTTTTTAGATTCGTTTGCGCGCATTATCATTTATATGATATCAGCCCGTGCATTCCTTGGTTTGTAAGGGAGGAGACCGAAGGGTTAAAATACGAACACTTTTAAGTTGTTTAATGTTTGCACGTGATTTCGATGTCCCTTGTAATGAGATGAATCCATAAGAGAAGACATTTATATCCGTTTAACCTTTAATTCGGTTAGGAGTCAAAGAAAACTGAGTCGTGCACATTAAATGATTTCCATGGTCAACTTTCACGAACATTTTCATATTCGCTAACGTGAAAAGGTGGCTCTTTAACACCAACATGCATTAATCTTTTGAAAATGGTAAATAACATTTCCCACTTTTTACTGCCCGTATCTTAGAATAGTTTATAGTAACAGATAAAGAGTCGAGATTAATGTCCTATGCATGTACGTAAAGTTCGTTCTTTAGTAAAAAGATATGTAAAGACGCACTAGCCACCCGTACCTCCTTCAGACGTAGATAGCTTTTGTCATTACGGTCTTTCATTCTACAGGTTTCCCCAGCTGGTTTAACTTATGTCACACAAATTCCTAATAAAGACATTTTAATTTTGTCCCCGAGCATTGTTGAAGCCCTTGAAATTGAGAATTGAGCTCGACGATGTTCGGGGACAAAATTAAAGTATTGTTATAGGGAACTTGGGTGATATGTGTTAAAATGACTGGGAAACGTACCTATTCCGGACAAACTTCCGACTGTTCTCAATGGTTCATGTTCAGCGACTTTCAATTCATATTGCATGTTTCTGTTGCAATAATGTCAGTGTAAGAATTCCCCCCCCCCCTCAGGGTGCGGGTAATTCCGAACGACGCAATTTTTTTTCTTTCTGCCAGCCATAAGGACCTAAAGGACTATTGACAAAATAATAAAAAATATGATTATGTTGAGGACTTGACTTGAACTTTGTTTGGCGTATCAACCTTAGAAAATGCCCTCTTAGCTTGTTGTGAGAAGCCAAAAAGGAAAGATATTCGGGATTCCCCCACTCTCCCCTACTAGATGTACAGTATGAATACTTGGGTGGCATGACGTCACAGTATCAAGGTAGTCGGTAACATGTTTTCTTTTGTCATTTTGCTTTCATCACCAGAATTTTGTCGTGCTGTGCAGCTCAACTCTTCTAATCAGGTCGTCGTCATAAGTGATGGAAGTCTCACTCTTTGCCTCAATGTGACTGCTCCGCCAGGGACGGCCATCAGAGCAACTCTTCATAGGTCTGTGGCTATTGTTTTCGACTACAGTGTCTGTGCCTTCTCCTTTGATGGGTTTGAGTTTTTCTCCACTAGGTGTCGGGAAAAGATTGAGGTGTTCTCCCCTAGAGAGTTACTAACAATGGTGCCTCCTTACAACCCGGGAAGCCGACCTAGGTTCAGCTTTGAAGCCGTCTCAAATGAACGTAAGTAGAATTCAAATTGCTGTTTTCGTGCGTTGCACCAGATAGGACTATGAGCTAATCAACTAACACAGTCGCAGCGGTGTTAAAATTTGATGGAGTATATCGAGCCTTCTGACTAATTGTGAGCATTTCACCAGGTTCCCCCCCCCATTTGTTTGTATAAAGAGTGCCCTTCTTTTGTCAATAAGTGCCCTTTTTCTGAACAAGTGCCGTGTTGAAAAAAAGAAGTGCACATTTAGTTTCAGCCGCCTTTACGAGTGCCTTTTCTTTAATTTCGCGCACGTATCGCCTTGAGCAGCGCCGTATATGGTCCAGTTAGTGTGCATACTCGTCGGTTTTGAACAGCGCCCCCATCATGGTACAATGCCCCCCCCCCCCACACACACACACATACTAAAATTTGTATCGTTTTGAAGACATTTCTTGTTCTCGTGTAGTAAATTTTTCGAGTTTGAAATTGTAGTTTCAAAATGCTCTCAAATAACAAGAATTAATTTCCTTTGCTGAAATTCGGGCTTAATATCCTTCTTCTAAAACTCTTCCATTTGCGACGATTTTTTTTTCTGTTTTATTCAAAGATACAATCAACAATTAAATAACAATAATCTATGTACATGTACAATTAATCGTCTGCTCTATAGGTACTTCTGAATTACACACAACAAAAAATTCTAACAAACAGTTTACTCGACATGACGAAGCTGGAGTTCCTGCTCAAAAAGGATGATAAGGTTGGAATACTGGCCAAATTTAAAACGACTCACTGTTTGTTTACCTATATTAATTAAAGTATTGAGAAACCGATAACTATTGTATGTTTCCCCGACCCCGAAAAGAATATTTTCCACAAACAGACTGATCGATTTGCCATACTTAGATGCAACAATCTTTTCAATTTCGTTCCAAAGGGGTTTTACCATTTTACACGACCAAAAAAAAGTGTTCAATGTAATCAATACTATCATGACAAAATGTGCAATTTTCTGAATCACTCTTCTTCCTTTTGCAAAGCCAGACTTGCGTGAGGTAACAGTTATGAATGATTTTCCAATTGATTGAAAATGACTTACTGTCTGGACAGCAATAGTTGAGCCTCTTCCATATTACATCCCAAACAAAGTTATGAGTGGGGAATTTGTTTTTCCAAAATGTCTCTGCTATGGGGATAGTGAATTTTGTGTCAGTAAATGTCTTCCTGATGTGCTTCATATTCATCTTAATTAGCTCATTTCGAACATCAATATTAATGTTACCAATCGTTTCTTTGGAAAGTTGTTTCCATTCCACGGGAAGGGAATTAATGACAATATAATATTCCAGTAAGTAGTTACCCTTGTTGCCAATGATTTGCCTAATCTGATCAGCGGTCATGAAATTACGAATCAACGTACCTTGGAATATTGTGTGCATGTCTCCATGGCACGGTTTGTCAGATCACATCACCCGCACACGCCCACACCCAGACACACACACTATTTTAATTTTTAGGAGGCCAACTGTCCGGAGAAAAATAGGGTCTACATTTCAGCATGGATGTGCAAGTGCCCTTTTCACCCCCCCCCAATCAAAATGACCTTGCTACGTCACTGCTACAAAACAAATGGTGATTTTGCAAACCCATAAACATTCATTTATATGACACTATATTTCTAAATACCGTTTTATTCTCCATTTTGTTTACTTAGAGGTATGCGGCAATGGCGACCATCTCTGTACTTTCAACAACGGATCGTTTTGCATCGGCGAAAATACAACTTGCCTCTGTTTAACAGATGGATATTGCTATGACTGTGAGTTCAAATTTTAAAGTGCACTATCAACCAATAGAACCGAAACTTCAGAGGACAACACTTACGAACATGTACAGAATAATGAACAGAATTTTGGACTTTGTTAAAAAAAATTAACGAGAAAGAGTGACAGGACGTACATATTTGACAGTTGTCACAGAAACAAAAAACGTTACCCTTCTACGGAAAGTCCATATCTGTATCTGTGTCTGTAACATACTTTGCAAACTGCTTGGTGTAATATCCTGCACATGACACACACGCGTTACTTAGCAGCAAGTTAAATACGAACCCCTGTGTGATTGAAAGAATATGTGACCTACTGAGGCAAAATGAGGAATGTCCTCCCCAAAACCTTGTTTTGAGTAATTGATGCCTGAAGTCGGATATACTGGAAAAACATCTCAAGATCGATATTGAATTGTTTTTTGAGTAGCCAAGGTATCCAAGATTCACACTATGCATTTTTTGTTGGGAAAAAAATACCCACAGAAAGGGGAAAATCTGAAAAACGTTTTTCACTGCCGTTGGCGGCGCAATGGGTTTCTTATTTTTGAAAGCCTTTTTTTCTCGAAATGAAGTTAGCGAAACTTGGGAGGACACTGTTGAAGTTCCTGCCGCAAATCTTTGGAAAGAATTAAGCTACATAAATAAATTTGATATCATTGGAAAGCCAATGATTTGCAGGTCACATATATTTCTATCGTAGATTTGAGACCTGAAGACGGTTAAACTTTGTGGGCCCCTAATATCTACCGATAGTTCGTTCCATTGGGCTGTTCTTTCTAGGCAAGAAAGACAATTTGTAGCAGTCCTTTTTGATATAGGACGTGAGAATGACAGGCCTGAATTTTGTCGATTCTTCTTTGATTGGTATTGCCGGAGAACTTGTTTGTCACATTTGTACACGCGGATAAATCGGACACAAGGCCGTCTCGCTCTCGCTCTCTTCAAGCTAACTTGCTTAGTGTGAAGGTTTGACATGCTACCCACAGGCCTTACTGAATAAAAAGAAGTATTTTTTTGAACTAATTAGCGGCGTCGCGAGAACATTTTCAATAGGGGGTGTCGTAACAAATTTGCCTACACGTTTACGTACAAAACATCCGTCAAGCGGCCAAAAAACAGGGTCCTGATATTTGCCGGTAGAAAAAATATGGGAGTTGTGAAAAGTAAAATTTACCGCAAACTTGCAACAAAATATTTGACGAGCAAAAAAACCCAATCCTCTGATATGAAAATTTGCCGACAACAGTAAAATAATACTAAAGGCCCTAAATTTTTATCGAACCCTAAATTTGTATTATTTGTCGACAACAATTATGGATTTGCCGACATAAATTTTGAATGGGGAGGCTTCCCCTCCCCCCTCTTGCGACGGCCCTGGAACTATATAATATAATAAATTGCGGCTTATTATGTCGTTGCAGATGAAGAAGTATGTCCTTACATAGTTTTGGACTCAAATCAAGCCGTCAGTATTTCTGAGGAAGTTGGACTGTATTCAGAATGGAGTGGAGACGTTACCAAGGGAACCAGTTGCTGGGCTGTTCCGGTGCTATATGACATTGTCATTAACGTCACTTTTCAATCCTCTGTTGACCAATTTTTTACAAGAATTACTCACAAGACATTTGAAGGAGTTTTGATTAAACATTACGACAGCTTCGTAGTTCCAAGAACGGCCTCTTTCGTCAACGGCTTTGGGTTAATCATCCTCAGCGCAGCCCTTTACAATGAAAGCTCCAATTCAACATTCTCTTTCAATCTACAGAAAAATCGATTCAACATCGACTATTTTGGCGGCTACCAAGAAGGTAGAGGCAATTTAAGAATTCGAAGACACCGTTTTTTTTTTCAGTATGCTCAATGTACACCTGCGTATAAACAAAAGCTCGATTCAATGTTTGTTTCACCTAAATGTTTGTGATACAAGACAAATTTGTTTTACCGTAAATGTTAAGAAACAAAATTGACCGCTCGATTGTGGTGAATATAATCGTTGCATTTGGCATTGATGGCTTTTACACACATAATCACGACCCAGCTTTTGGTATTGACGCGTGAAGACATTAGTGGGAAACACCCCATTTGTTACAATTCAACTCGCGTCGAGCTCAAGCTCTGAGATATATTTCTTGAAGGAATAAGTATTAAAGTTATTCACCATCACTGTAGATGTACAGTGTGTCTCTAAAAAAAGTAAACCCAACTTCAACGGCAAATTTTCAGAAAACTATAAAATATTTACACATTATTTTTTCATGGTTAGATAGTCCAATAAGTCCTCTGTCCAATGATACCACGTAGGTTATCTAACTCTCATGCATGACTGAGCATGATTCAACTTAGTGAATGGGTGTGAAATCATCACTGTGGCAAGTTATTTCTCGCTAATGATCAGGCGTGCTGTCAGGGACATGAGGAGGCGTTGCGAGCTTTGCATCGAAAGGAATGGCGGTCATGTCGAGGGTACACATCCCTAAGCTATGCTCGTAAGAAATCAGACATTTCCTATGTCATTTGATTGATGAACTTCCAATCAAAGTGCAATTCTAACTTGCCACAGTGATGATTTCACACCCATTCACTAAGTTGAATCATGCTCAGTCATGCATGAGAGTTACATAACCTACGTGGTATCATTGGACAGAGGACTTATTGGACTATCTAACCATAAAAAATAATGTGTAAATATTTTATAGTTTTCTGAAAATTTGCCGTTGAAGTTGGGTTTACTTTTTTTAGAGACACACTGTATAGCTGAGGCTGCATAACCGGCTACCATTATTATAAGGGAAACAAAGATGTGAACTTTCTCGTTTGTGTATATTTTATCGCTTCTCAGAAATTAATTCTGGACAAACAGAAATGTTTGACTGTAGCACCAACTTTTTTTTTACACGGTCATAAGTTACCTGTCGACCTGATGAATTCAAGTGCGGTACCGGTGGGGTTATATGTTACGATTCTACCATTGTATGCGATGGGCGTCAAGACTGCGACTTATCATGGCGACATGATGAACGGGACTGTGGTGAGTATGTCGGGAAGTGCCTGAAATTCACTGTTCACTTATGTGTTCAATTATGCATTCTCAACTGGTCAATAGAGAATTGCAAGTGAGAGTTATTGAATGGAAGTAGCATGGGCGATTGGAAACGACGACCCTACTGACAAAGACTTCAATGACAACATCTACGACAATGATAAGAACCAGCAACAGTAAATAAAGCTAGCAGCCATCGTACTTCCTTGCTCTATCCATTGATAATGTGCATCAATGGTGCCTTACACCACCACAGTCAGTGTTCAATTTTCTTTACTGCTTGTGGTTATGCCAGATTACTGTGAAAACGATGACCAAATCATTCTTCCGAGAAACTCGTCATACGACATCAAGTATCCAGCCGGTCAGCTGAGAGGAGATCCAACTATCCTAACATCCACAAGAGCCAGCTGCTCCTGGACAGTGCAAGCCAGTAGCGACCAAGTTATCCGGATTCGCTTCCTGGTTCCAACGACACACTCTCTCCTTAAATGGTTTCAATTGAATTTCTTCGTGGGGTCACCGTGGCAGCCAGTTGCAGCCTTTTGGAAGTTTGACAAGTCGAGTATGGTGATTCACAGCTCCGAGGTCCGAATCACGTTCTCAAAGATTATTTTCGAATATCCTTCTCGACTGTACCTGCGGATTGAATCTGAATATCCAGGTACAAAGATGAACAACCATCAACAATCTTGTCTGTTCTGTTTTCCGTATTCATACATGTGTAAAACTGTTGCAATTTGGTCCACTCAACCAATTCATAGTCAATCATTATGCACAATTTCGCGCATTTGAAACTATAGGCACAAATTTTCTATCGCTAACCATAACACTTGATCAAAGTAATCATGGGCAAACTGAATGTAACAATTAATTTTTGCCTTGGCCAATCTCTTAGCGTCTTGTAAGAATGAAACGGAATTCAGCTGTGTGCCCGATAATGTCTGCATCCCGATCAGCAAGAGATGCGATGGATTCCCAGATTGTGACAGCAAAGCAGATGAAATAGGATGTGGTAAATACATGTAAAGAGTTTTACCTAATGTTGTTTGTTTGTTCACGTGAGCCTCAATAATAAAATGTATTTATCAGAAATATTGTAAAGGGATGAACAATCTTGGCAACGTATGCCACGATTAAATCGTCAGTCAACCGCTGGGCGGTCCATCACGAACTCAACAAGCGTCTGTATAGTTTCTCATGCAGGACTGATATAGGCAAACGATATAGAAAAAAATCCCGCTATTGAAGCCGCCCTTTCATTGTCTTTCTTTTTCTTCTTTCTGCAAAAGGGACATGTTATTCACACCAATTTCGGTGTTTGACGTCTGATGGACATTCAACGTGCGTGTTCAGTAGCTATATATGTGACCAGCAGCCACATTGTCAAAATATGTACGATGAACTGAATTGTGGTGAGTTTTTGTCTTTTGAAAATTAGAAAAAAAGCCAGGTAAACATTTATTTGAAATGCTGTTGTGTTTGTTGCAACGAAAACGGGAGAAGCTTCTGTTCTTAAACCGTTCAGAACCATTTTTTTTTACATCTTAATTACACAACAGTATCACATTTATAATCCCCTCTCAAAATAGCCAATTTTTTTTACAATTGGTTCCTTTATAGGCCCTAATGGTTTTAAAACTGATTTTCTTTATACCCCCAACAAAAATCAATTCTTATAACCTTTTTTTGTTGCAGCAAAACGATGTATAAGTTTGACGTACATGATTAAGTTTAATATTAATGTTGTTGATTTTGTAATTTTTCTTAGTTGGCAATGATAATCTATTAGTGTATACTTGTCTTCTTTAACAGCCATGCGGTTGCGAAGGCCGATTTCTAAAGGTTACGTAATACTTTATTTTGAATGAAACAACATGCACACAGACATGTTTACGTTCGCGGGCGCAATCTTTGAAAATCAATTTCTCCGATTTGGAAGACTGTGTCTTCATGGAACTTTTAGGGTTTGTTTCCCTTATAATGATCCAACTATGCGCTAAAAATCGTTTTGATATGTTCAGTACTTTTTGTTGAAATTGGAAAAAAAGGACTGGTTACATGCATTTTTAAAAGTTGTTAACACTGGTGTTTGCAAAATCTGTCAATCTTTTCAAGCCTCACGAATATTAATAAGGTTCTTATCGATTATGGTGTGCAGTAAAAACTTGCAGTATTGCCTCCTTCACGAGTTACTAATTAAAGGTATAGTCCATCATTTGTAATTTGTGCATTTTGTTCGTTTGAAGCCATAAAAGTGCTCAAAATCTAAAGAAGGGTGCTGAACAACTGACCTGATGAAGTTTCAGTTCGGCTTCAGCTGTATATTTCGAGAAAAACAGCATTCTAGGTTCTCCATTTCAAATCAAAAGTTGCTGAATCATGTTTTTAATTGGGTCTGAATCCGACGAATTATAGCAACCGCGCGCACGTGTGCGTCGTGTCAACGCTTGCGCGCGCTTTGCCGAATAAACTAACCAACCTACTAACGGAAATTTCCAACGGTGCTTCTTGAGACGCACCGTTGGAAAGGCCTTCTTTCGTTGATTTCTTAAGAATTACAGCTTGCCAGAAAGAATAATTTCACAGGGAGTTTAGTCCCCTTTCTATTTTTTTTTAACCAAATATGTTTTCCAACAATAATTAAGCCAATTAGGATAGCTGCAAATGATGGACTCTGGCTTTAATAAATATCACCCTTTTTGCCGACTTCCATTGGTCGATAGCGAGACCCACGCGAAGCACGCGAGTCACACTAATGAATATGCTAATATGCACTTCGTCGTTGTTGCCCCAAAATCAGCCAACCTGAAAACCATGCACGTGAGTTAATTTGGTCGGCAAAAAATCCTTGTCGAAATTTACCTAGGAGATAGTTCAAGAAGTAACACAAGCGTTTGCAACAACAGATTAAGCTGAAATTCGGAATATACTTATAGATGATATAAGTGTTCAACTTCTTGTGAAATAACAACTTAAGGGGATTCCTAGAAATTGAGAAAAAATACATAGATTCGGGGACGTTTTCGAACAATTTCTTCCCGACTTTAAGGTCAGCTTTACCAGTGACCAGAATTGACGTTTAGGCATCGATGACGTCGATTTGTTCACCGACATGAAGTCTAGAATTTCTTCTCCGTTTTAATTTAACATTTCAATCATACTGAGAATATTCTCTGAGAAACACAACATTCAAAAAGCCGTGGGGGTGCAAACGTAATCAGATTAACTTTGTTTAAAAACGGCGATGCTTAGGCCTTTGCAAGCACATGGCTGTTAAGGTCTGTTCATACTTTGTGACAGCGCATTTTAGACGTCACGGCAGGTGCTATGATTCCGAAGGCCTAATACACTGTTAACTCCATCGAATGTTTGGTGGCAAACTTGCTTCGTAGTCGCATATTTCACGTTAAGCATGAACCGGTGTAGCGTGAATTTACATTTGAAAAACGGACTCATTGGTGGTATTGCGCAAGCTCATACATTGATAATTAAGAGAGGGACCGGTCACGTGTAGGGTTTAACCAATAAAAGGGAAAAGGGGTCCAATTATCACAGGAGTCAGATAATCATATTGTTTTATTTCGGCCAAGCACATATTTATTCCCTTATTTATACACCAATCATGAGTGCTTTATACCAAAAGATCCACTTCAGTTTGGATACGAGTTGTAAATTTGGCTGCATGTCTAAGATATTAGACATGGATGTCAATCCATGAAACGTAGGCCTACTGTCTTCTATCAACAACTTACTACAAATTTCCCACGCTCTCTTAGTATTAAATTGTTTTTCCCCACAGCTACATGTGGTCCACCTGTCGATGTATCTGACGGTGGTATCTACCAGCTGACCTCACCACACTCATCAGATTCTCAGCCAATAACATGTGTGTGGCTGGTCTATGCTTCTCCTGGCCACCTCATCAACATCCGCGTCACCGACACATCACTCATCATTTCAGGGAACATCCGTGTAGGCTCTGGCCACGACCCAAGTAACGAGAGCTCGACAATCATTAACAAATCAACGGGCACGATTCCCGAGGGTTTTACGGTTCATTTAGGAAGGGCTTGGATATCGTGCGTTGTATCAAATAATAACTTCTCTTTCGAAATCACACAGTTGAGTGAAGTAGGTGAGTATAACACCTGTTGCACTTTTTAAATGCTTTTAGTTAAGTTCGGGGTATTAAGGTAGACTTATACAGAAATAAGACTCGCATTTTGCTTTTAAACACCCGATATTTTGTTTTATGGGTTTTAATAGTTATGGTCGTATAAAAAATATGGAAATGCAGAATGCACCCAAAAAAAATTGACCTACCTCAGTTTCATGCAAATTGCAGTATGTACGATACGTGCAAAAAGGACAGTCTGGATTTGGTCCCATCGTATGTGGGTCATGCGTTGCGCGCGTATGGTGCAAAGTACGTCAGGCGTTGTCGGTAATAATGCGGCCAAGGGTACCGCCCAATGGTCTCCCCAACTTTTCTTTTGTTACCGTTGAAGGGGTATTCGTGCAAGGAGTTTATACAATCTTAATGGCTGCGTTCGCGTTACTTTTGATACGCTCAAGATATTCTCAAGAGTAGGAAAATGCGTGCGCATTGCATTGGGGTCACATCGCTCGAACGGTTAATGTCAACTACTATAAAGCAGACAAAATTATGGCTATCCGCTACGTTCACAAGTACCCCCTCACCGGCAAAGAGAGTACAGTTGGGGGTGACCGACCAACGTCATCTTGCCTGACTGCAATTCATTTGCCGCGAAGCGCGGCCACTGCGTGTACAAAGTACAAATACCCTGGTGTACGTGGTCACACACAAGGAACGGTGCGCGTCAACCAGCAAAATGTCCCGCCCATGGAACGTCGTTGCTAGTTAAAAGGGCGCCTTTTTCGTCGGCGCACGGAGCCGATACTAGCAGAAGGTAATTTTTCGTTAATAAAGCTTCACCTTATTCGCCTATGCTGTTACGTTGTGTGTTTTTGGATCATTGTGTTTTGCCCTTTACCGACGTATTTTCATAAACAATATTATACTCACTGTGTTCTCCTAGTGCTTACGAGAAAACATCGACAAAGCTTACTTAGGAGGGACTTGAACCTACGACCTCCTACTTTTACCGACTCCATTTGCTGATCAATATAGTAATGATTTGCATTTGAACGTTGAGGGCAGTGTATGTCGTCGATCTCCTTCTCAGGCCACTAACTGCGGACGCATCGGCCTAAACACGACTTTCGGGGAAGTGCAGGCGTGTGGGCACTTCACCCTTTGAAAATGCTTGTGAAAGTACATGGATAAAATTTCAGACATAAATATGCCCATTAAAGAATTAATCCGCTCACCTCATTCTCACTATGTCGTCAATCTACAGTACAATGCAACACCACAACCGAATTCGCCTGTTCGTCTGGAGTGCAGTGCGTAGCTGCCGACCTACGCTGTGATTCTTTACGCCACTGCGATGATTATTCTGACGAGTTGGGATGCTGTAAGTAAACGTTTTTGAAAGGGAGCTTGGATCTATACTCTTCGTCTTCTCTTATTTTACAGGTCGGGAGTTTAGCTTTTAGGTGATCTTTGATCCAAAGAGGACCATCTATTAAGCGCTGAAGTTCAGTAGCCACTCCAAATCTTAATAAATCGCTTGTCGGGCTACACTGTCAAACTGAAATAGTTAAAAACTGAAAGCTAGAGACTTTCCCCATTAATCCTAAACATACCATGCCTCTTAATCGCTGTTAAATGGTGCTCTGATTGGGCTACCATAAGAGCAGTAGACAGGGTTTCTTTTTTTTAATTTCTACTTCACAGAGCTTCTGACATTTTGTTTTATTTATGAACAGTAACATGCAGCAAAGACCAGTATTTGTGTGGTCATCAGGGCGAATGTGTGGATAGTCAGCAGATCTGTGACATTTCCAATGATTGTGGCAACTTTGAAGATGAATGGGAGTGCTGTAAGATTTTTTTTAAATCACATTAACCATAGCCCATGTGAAGAGATAAATCTAGAGTTGTTATTGTGCTGTTTTGTTGGCTGTGTACCTTTTTAATTACACGTTTATCGTCATGCCTAAACTTCAGAAGTATGTCAACCAATGAGACCACATTTGTCCTCTTTTTTTTTTAAAGTGTGCTGTTCATATCTTTTGGAACAGATTCTACATGTGGCCCAAGTCTAGTAAATGTCAACATCTCCGCCGTCCTATCTGTGCCCTCAATCCAACATAGCATATACGTGTGCGTTTGGCAGATTACCAGTGACCTCAACACTTACCTCACTATGGAGGTTGTTACCATGGAAATAGGACCTGAAAGCTACATAAGCTTTGGTAACGGGCACGAAATATCTTCCATGCTCGCCAAAGAAACAGACATGCAAGTTGCTGGAACCCTTTATCTCTTCTATGGTAATCAGATGTGGATGGTGGCACATATCTTTAGCGATGCATTCGATTTTGAGGCTACGCTAAATGCCGGAACGATCAGAGGTGAGTTCCGATGAAAGAGTTGTATTGCGTACTATTGGCTACTGAATCTCATAAAAGTTCCGGGTCAAGTAAGACCCTTAATCCGAGTAAGATTTGACCTGTCACTATTCTGGATCGAAATGGCGGCTTTTTGTGTCATGATAGTAAGACTTTTCCACAGTCAAAAAGACAATCTTTCACGTGAAAATTAGGGCCGGGAAAAGTGACGCATTCCTGGGTCATTTCGACTCAGTAATGGGTGTGGTCAACGAATCAGACCCCGGAAATTGTAAACATGCATATTTTGGTCTTTCGTCACATTTGGCAGTTTGCATGCAGAAACAGAGAAGTGAGTGAGTCAAGAAACCGGAAATTGCGTCGCAGCATGGGACGCACACAAAACTGATTAAAACCATTCCTCCAGTAACATTTGAACAGCACTGCATATAAACGGCCACATCATAGTGGAAAAGCTACTCTGTGTTTTGCCGACTTTCCCGTCTGTAATGAACCTACGGCTCTGTTTTTCATTTTCAAAGGTTCTTGTGACGCCCAGAGTCTTCAGAGCGGTTCCAAGTGCGTGCCTGGCAGTTCACGATGTAACGGTAGAGCAGATCTACCAGACTACTCGGATGAAGTGGATTGCGGTAAAATATATTCACCTGCACGAGAAGAGCATCTCCTTGACTGAATATCTCTCTTTCTCTCTCTCTAGTTGTGAAACGGACATGTAAATTATAACTTTCTTCTGAAGAATCACCACTTTTAAGATATCTTGAGCCGTTATTATAGGTATTTCCTCGTGTGGAGACGTTTGAACGTTTCATTTGAGATACTAGATCATTTGAGGTACTAACAGGATGCCGCGCTTCCCGCAACACCAAGTGGGCATGGTAAACCATGATGCCGATCGCCAAATATTTCATCATCATCATGGACATTTATTTTTCACGTAGTAGCGATACATTTGGGAATATTTTACTGAGTAATCTTGTAATATTTAACTATTCAAAGTCTAAAAGAAACAAATACACCGACAGGCAAAACAAAACAAATATTTTTTTCATGTGCCAACCGTTACTTCAGAGCACATCGGGGCATATACATGTATACGATATGCAGTTTAGGACATGTATGTATATGCAGAAAAAAGACATCAGACACACCGACTGCATTATACTCTTTTAATATAGGATAGTTGCGATTGAGATGAAGAGAGAAACTGGATGTGATGAGGGATATACATTTACAGCTTTGATTTAGTTTTTTTCTCTAAATGCAGGTGTTTGTGGAACGACCAATTTGAATCTGTCAACTCACAAAGAAGTGGTAACAGTGGAAGTTGCCTACGGGCATGACGGATATAAACAGCAGCTTGTAACAGTCTCCGTACGCGACCACCAAAATATCCCCCTGGTTATCGCTAACACTACATCCAACATCAGTGAGTGCGTGTGGAAGGTCTCCTCGTCAAGGGGAACTCGCATAGAGATAACTGTTGCCAGGTTTGTCGGTACTAATCTACGCATCGGTAACGGCCACGACCCTAGTGAGGGCGCACCCATTTGGTCCCATTCTGAGACTTTGTTGTCTCGCAAGACACTGTTTTCTTCGGGTTCAGCTGTATGGATAACAACTGTTGTGTACAGTTACCATTGGGAACCTTACCAGCTACAGTTTACCCTCCGTAACTTCACAAGTATTGGTAAGCAGTTCCATGCAAGGAATTCCGTTAATAAATCTTATGTCGTGAAATATGGTATGAGGGTGGATAGTTGATATACGGGGGCTAATATCGACTATCACCCGGAGTAAACCATGGCAAAGTTAATTAAGCTACTTTACCTCATACATATTCAACAACATCTCGTCGATTTTCGGATCAATTATTTTGGCAAAACATTGCTTTTTGTCTGCCTCTGTGAAAGAATGTTCTATCCCTTGGACATTCTGTCCTAGCTTTGCCTTGGATATTGATATTGTGTTCCGAGGAAATAGTGTCTCCCACTAGGTATCTGTCCCCTATCCGCATGCCTTAACGGAGAATTTTTTCGTTCGTTTTTATAATATAGACTTTTTCAAATGAATCCACGTTTCTGAGGATGGATTTTCTTTTATCTGTGTTATCTGTGTAAACCCCCCCCCCCCCAAAAAAAAATTAAGTCATTACTGCTATGAAAAACATTCATTTCGTCACACAAAAAAAAATGAAGGAGAGCAATTTGGAAGAGTTGCAAAGGTCACGAAATGTAAACAGTCCTTCATCATTGTCGAACCAGGACTGCAGGGCAACCAAAGGCAGACCGTAAATAGGGCCTACTTTGACCAGGTTGTTCTGCCTGACCGCAGGCTTTTTAAATCGAGAAAATACGTTACCTTAATTTGAAAATTGTATTTGTAATCAGATTGTGACGAGGGGCAGTTCGCATGTACTTCAGAAACTATGTGCCTGAACCAGTCTTCGGTCTGCAACGGGATTCACGAGTGTCCAACTTACGCAGATGAACTCTCTTGCAGTAAGTAAAGGCCTACCTTCTGTACTCTTTAATAATTATATACCTCATGCCTCAAATCAGACGCAAAGGAAAACACGCAACAGTATTGTATTGTACAATAATTTCAGACTTCAAAGTGAACGTTTCAGACATACATTGGATGAAACTACCACCCGGTGTTGTAGTCGAGAACTTTTTTTCCCCGAATACGTAGTACTTAGGTTACCGAGCACGAATACGGGTGAGGGTGCTTGCACTTCCGAGTACAAGTACAGGTCTCCGAGTACGACTGCTTGAACTTACGAGTACGAGCATGAGTGCGAGTACGAGAACTTCCGAATACGGCCATACGGCAAATGGTTCATTAGGCGCGTAATTGGCCCAGGCCCAGTCAGACCGATATACAGACCCAATCGAGTTTATTTCGAGTACTGCTATTCGAGTACGAGTACTTTGATGATCGAGTACAATTTCGACTTGTCGAGTACGAGTACTTTGCTGCCCTAGTAGGAGTACCGTCATTAATCATTTCGAGTACGAGTGCTTTGACGTTTGAGTACAGGTAAACGAATACTCTTATTAAAAAAATAATCAATTAGCACTCGAGTACGAGAACCGAGTACGAGAACCGAGTAGAGTACAACAACACAGCTACCACCCCTCTTCTATTTACTGCCCTGCCCAAACGACACCGACTCCTTCACCAGTTCGAAACATAACTTAACTGCGCAGCGTTTACAAAAAAACTTTACAACAACTCGTCAGAGGGCAGCAGGTACTTTCCCGCACTACGCAAGACCCTTTTCATAGCAATACAACAAAAAGCTACGTGCCAGACATTGTCCAGACAGTTCCAAGACAGTGCGCTGGAAAGATAATTGACTGGCGGCTGTGGTATGCAGTTATGAAGGGTGATGACTGTGTCAAGTTACAGGTCTTTGTTGATGTTTCAATGAGACTTGGCAGGAGGCCTGGTCGAAAGTTTGTTGACACGGTATGGGTGTAGCCCTGGCTGCAAAGTTCATTGAACCAGCTGATTTGGCAAGGGTTGAATGAGGATTAGATAGGAGGTGAACGTTAATGGTCCTAAAAAAATTTGTATTCAAACAATTGGGTTTGTTGATGCCCAAGGGGCATCAGGTCACTCCGCCCAGGGGTGACTTTTGAGGCTTCACTTTATAACGACAATATTTCATGTCTTTTGTTTCGATAGCGAGTTGCCAGGAAGAATTCCTTTGCTCAACAGGAGAGTGCATAGCGATCGATAACGTGTGCAATCGGTACTCTGACTGTCCGAAGCGGAATGATGAATTCAACTGTGGTAAGCCTAGCTAAATTGTTTTGTGTAAATGTATTTGCTGAATGAAAGTAAGCACATTGATCGATCTTGACAAGGGCTTGATGCTATTCTGACGAACATACAACTACTGCTGTACGGATGAGAGAATCAACCAGCTTTATTATGTTTCTCCTATCGTGTGCTAACATGTAATTGATTTTGGATGGTTACAGCCCGATAGTCCGAAGGTGCGATAGTCCGCAGGTTCTTTAGCCCGAAGGGTAATTAGTCCGAAGGTTCGTAAGTCCGAAGGTTTAATAGTCCGAAGGTTCGATAGTCCGAAGGGTTTTTTTATCCGAAAACAGAAGAAGGTTAAATAGTCCGAAGGTCCTAAGTCCGAATAGTCGATAGGGTTCGATAGTCCGAATCGAGAATAAGATCCGATGGTCCGAATTGACGATAAGGTTCGATAGTCCGAATGGACAATATTTTTCGATATTCCGAATTGACAATATGACTTTATTGTCGAATCGGACTATCTGAGCTAATTGTCGATTCGGACTATCGGACCCGATTGTTCATTCGAACTTTCGGACCTTATTTTGAATTCGGAATAATGAGCCCTCGGACTAGTAAGCCTTATTTTCGTTTCGGACTCTTGAACCTTCGAACTTTTGAACCTTCAAACTAATGAACCTTTGGACCAATGAACCTTCGGAATAATGATCCCTCGGACTATTGAACCTTCGGACAAATGAACCCTCGGACTATTGAACCTTCGAACTATCGAACCTTCGGACTATTGCTTCAAATGTTCAGAGAACCTTATTTCATTTTCGGACTAACTTGTGAGAAGTTTGTGCACTCGGACTCTCGAATCTTCGATCGGACTAAAGAACCTTCGGACTAAAGTGTGGGACATACTGATATATCTTCAGTAGTAAGAAAGCCCGGTATGGGTTATGCGTTTAATTAATGCACCCATAAAGGCACCAGAAGGAATAGCGTCTTCACACAATGAAGACACTAATAGGACCAATGCGTATTAAATGTTGCTGGTCCTAATAAAGGGCCAAGCCTGTAGACCTTCATCATGCTGCCACCATTTCAGTCATGCTCCCTGTATCCAATAAAAGGAACCAGACTATTTTCCCGTCCAGTCTCACTTTGGTTACGTTGATTTGAATGGGAAAAAATCAAGATGGCCGCAACATGATAATTGTCTAGTCCCCTCTGAACATGACTGACCGACGGACCACCCACCCACACACACAAGTGTATAAATACCTTCAATCGTGGACCTTCTGCGTTGTCACTCTTTTGTTTGTACTTTTAGGAAGACCTCCCATATCTTTTGCACATGGTCGTCAATCGTGGACCACCAGGAATTGTGTACCCTATTGCCCTCTTTTGTTCAGGGGACCTGAATGCATTAATAAACCCACTGATATACTTAAGTGTCCTCTTTAATCCTTTTTTTTGGGCTCTTGAATTGCGCCTTAGTTTTTCTTTGAACGAGGGCAATCAGTAGCTTCACCTTCAATTTTTATTGATAAATGACGCTTTTCAAACGTTTACTTCAACATTGCAGGTTTCTGCGGGGAAACAAATATAGCATTGAATGCTTCCGTTAGCCGATTTTTCACGGCAGCGTTTGACGTAAATCGTGAAAATGACTGTGTGTGGACTGTCACCGCTGAACCGTCCACACGAATTCTGATCACCGTCACAACCCACCGATATTTATCGACCACCTTTTGCGATGGGAATTATGGAGACTTTGTTAGAGACAGCAACCGAAGTGGATGTACAGAACTTGCCACCTTGCAAGGATCCACTGCGGTATTCCGTAGACAAGCTTCTTCGAGTGGCCCCGCGCTATGGATAGAGGACACTGTCCATAGTTATTATGATAACCGGGATCTTACGCTTACGCTTAGCCAGTTCGTGGATATTGGTAAGTAAAGGTAAAACACAGTGACGTAAATCTTTTCCGACGAGTGGGGGGATGGGGGATGACCAAAATCCAAAAATTGCCCGGCCGTGGAAATTCGAAAGGGGGGGGGGGGGGGGGGCTGGATACCACATTACACTAGGGGCGCTGTTCATGATATACAATGTACATCGCTGTGTTTACTCGTGGTTACATAAAAAAAGCGCATTTTAAGCTTTTACTTTTGTTCTCAATTTTTCAGTGCAATGTTGAAAAGGCCTACCTATTGGCTGTTGAAAATTTTGAGAAAAACCATCGAAATCCTCATTTCCTTTTTTTCTCATCACGAAAACGTGGGGGGAATGATTCAATATCCCCCCAGTCAAAAACTGGACGGGATATATCCCCCCCCCCATCCCCCGGGATTTACGCCCCTGGTAAACAAATGTTACTAACCAACTCCCACTTCTTGCCAAATCGGCAAGTTATACTAATTACATCGCAAGTGGAAACGCTAAGAATGTAAACAAAATGGACCTTACCCATATGTTGAAATAACATTACGCCTTGTGTATTTGGCAGTGTGCCAAAATGGAGAGTACATGTGTCCCTCTGGGAGAACTTGTATCGACCAATCCGCTGTCTGCGATGGCTGGCCAGACTGCCCTGAGTACGAGGACGAATTTGGATGTAGTAAGTGCGAACAAGTCAGGAAATAAAAAAAAAAGGATTTAACCTTTGTTCGTCCCCGATGACCTCAGATTTCTATGAGCTCTGATTTCTTTGGGTCGACCATACCGTACAAAGTAAAAAGTCCTGGGTCAGATCTGTCTCGGAATCCGGTTCCTATTTCACTTGATACTTTTCAGTGTCAAAACGTAATTGTTCTGGTCAAAAATGCCAATTTTCTGGTGAAATTAACCCAGAATGATCATGAACATTTTTATTTAACGTGGAAGGTGTCAATATTAAACTCTGAAATGTATCAGGTCAGATGGAGTCAACCAGGATTAGTGATCAGTTCGGGGGCAAATCTGACCTCTACTTATGAGAGTGTATAATGAGCTCTCATTGGACGAATGTTTCACCCAGTGACCTGGGTTTGGACACTAGTCCTGGATCGTACGGTTATGTGCTTAGTCCATGGGACAGTGTTGTATTTAATAGAGGGACAATCTTGCTCGTTTTTTCCCCGTGGCGTTTGCATATTGCGAACTTAAATTTGTCAGATTAATCAGAATCTTGCATGTCTACGAACAGGATTTGTTTTGAATTTGCCGGGGCTGGTTAAAAAATAATCACCCCGACAATTTCTGCGTTCGCCACTGATGTATCCTCCAATATAGGATTGGCCCTTCATCTACGTATTTGTTTATGAACAATGTATACTCGGTGTACCATTGATTGTGAGGGGGAAAAAAATCACTTGTCAGAAGTCGAACCAACGAACTCCTACTAGTCTGGGTGATGTAAATATCTAAATCCATACCTACCTGACGTAAATTCCATCTTTTGAACTGATCTATCAGTTTGGAGGTGTACGGGAAAGTTTCATTCAGTAACATAAACGAAGTTTATTTATGATTTTTAATGCAGCCGTCTTACCAAGGAATCCTATTTTTGGCCCGATTTAACATGAAAAGTCTTCATGAAATCGTTTCTTAAAGATTTTGGAATTGAAAATGCTGAACGCTTTAACAAGTAATGGGTTGCCATTTGCCATTTACATTTGGCTTCCTTTTTTAGGAGGTTGTTCCAAAGAGGAGTTTGCGTGTAGAACAGGCAGCGAATGCTACGAAAAACAGCATATCTGTGATGGAAGCCTTAACTGCAATGACTTTTCTGATGAGTTCCATTGCGGTAAGCTTTCCCCTCTATAGAGGGTGGTGCAAAAAGAAAGAAACCCACTTTTGACAGGAATTTGAAACTACTTAACTCATTTGAACTGTTTTTATAATGTAGTGAAGAATGGCTCCTCAACCATACATAATGAACAAATCTTGAAAAAAAATCGGATAGTGTTATGCTAATTTGAATACAAGTCACAAAATCATTGTTGTCCACGTGTAAGTCTAGTGTAATATTTTTTTGTCTTCAAATCAAGCTCCGGAGCTCAGTCAAGCGGACGGAATAAAGCCGTCCATGGAAAAACAGGTTTGGCACATGATATGTTTAAACCACCATATCTCAGTGACAGAATACTATTTGCAATAATTTTGTGTTCACTTATGTTTAAAGATCAATATCTCAATACCATATAATTGATTTTTTGAAATATGCTCAACCAATAGGTGAAAATTGCTGTCAAAAGTGGGTTTCCTTCTTTTTGCACCACCAAAGAGCTACATATTTCATGCCCTGGTTTCCTTAGGTTCTCTCTATCCAAGTAGTCACTGGGAATAAACAAGTTAACTTTACGGCTTTATGAAAATATATGAATATATATATAGTTTAACCTACGCCTGTCGTGTCCAATACAGGTCCGTGCAGTGACAGGCATGTCAACATGACGCTAGGCTACGCCAATCTTACCTCACCCGGTTGGCCATGGAATTACCCAACTAATATAAGATGCTACTGGTTTGTGCTGGCTCCCGAGGATCACAGAATTCTGGTCATATTTCTTGAATTCGAGACCGAAAATCGTTTCGATTACCTGAAGTGGTCCAGTGGGCGTACGTTAACGGACGGCCTCAAAATAAGCGGGTAATTTATGAGACTACATTATCAATATTTACGACATGTGTTAGGCCTTCAGCTGAATGTTCAATTCTTTCATTTCGCTCCAGCGACCCCGGGAATAGATTTTCTTAACATTTACAACTAAATAAGATTGGTATCACGCATTGTTCTCTACATTTCAACTTCTACTTTTTTTCTTATGGTTTTACTCGAAAGAACGAACTATTTTTTCAACATGGAAGTTCGGAGACGTACCACGATAAGTTAAAAAAAATAATTCGCGAATGAGCCATTGGTATTATTGATGGGAAACTTTGAGGTCTCATTTCCCGAGGGGGAGGACTATGAATAGGCCTTTCATATTAATAAAACGCACACTTTTTTCTTCCTAAAATGTTGACAGAGAGGGGATGCCTTGCTTGTGTACTTCTTATCTACACCAGTGCTCAATATCCTGAGCTGCGTGAGCCTATACTCCCTGATAGTCTGGATTATTTTTGTTTCTTTACAATGCCACAAAACGTTATCATATTCAAAGACTAACTTGTGACGTTATATCTTCACATACAGATCGAATTCTCCCAGTAGAATAGCGTCAAGAGGCACAGAATTATCCTTGCATTTCTTTTCGGACTGGTCGATCGAAGAGAAAGGATTTTTACTTCAACTTGAACAAAGGCCTACAGACGAAAGTAAGTCATGTCAATTTTTCTTCATTTTGAACGTTTTATTTGTAACTTGTGAAATTATGACTGGGTGTATCTCGTGAAATTATGACTCGTAAATTGAGTGCAGTGGGAAAAAAGTAACTAACCTATTTCTTTTGCAGTTTTCCACAAAAAAACACATCTTCGCCGTGGTGATTCTGTTTGTAACTATCGAAAGGTTTCATGTTATTGCGTTAATGATGGCTGAGCAAAACGCGATGTTTTGTCGTGAAAGATTTTAGAATGTGTCAACTGTGAAAATGGACATGAATCTTTCCGCAAATTTAATCTGTAGGACGATAATATTATTTGATATACCTTCTTGGTGGTTTGATATATTCTTGTTGATTTGATACCTGACTGTTGATATGATACCTTATTGTTGATTTGATACCTGATTATTGTTTTGATACCCGATTGTTGATTTGATACCTGATTGTTGATTTGATACCTGATTGTTGATTTGATACCTGATTGTTGATTTGATAACTGGTTGTTGATTTGATACCTGATTGTTGATTTGATACCCGATTGTTGATTTGATACCTGATTGTTGATTTGATACCTGATTGTTGATTTGATACCTGATTGTTGATTTGATACCTGGTTGTTGATTTGATACCTGATTGTTGATTTCATACCTGATTGTTGATTTGATACCTGATTGTTGATTTGATACCTGATTGTTAATTTGATACCTGATTGTTGATTTAATACCTGATTGTTGATTTGATACCAAATTGTTGATTTGATACCTGATTGTTGATTTGATACCCGACCGTTCTTGACATGATACCTGATTACCCATTGCTGCATACAGATAGCGATTTGTTTTCATGTATCTTTATTTTAAGTCTCATGCGAGGTTGGAGAGGTAATGTGCCAGTATACGGAGTTCATATGTGTGCCACCAAACACCGAAGTTTTGCAATGCCCACAAAGTAAGTGACTTTGTCGGTGTCTCGTTTGATAATGTGCGTCATTTTATCCGATTACATGATTATTTTATCCGATTACATTGGTACTTTTCTGGGTTATTGAAAAGGGGCCAGGTAGAGTATACTCATGGGCGTTGCGAGCTGGGGGGGGGGGTGTGGCGAAAAGAAAAAGGGGGAAGGAGAAAAAGGGGGAAAAAGAAAGAAAAGGAGGAGCGAAGTCATATTGCTGTTAATTTATTGAGGTGGGGGTGGGGGGGGGGGGGGGCAAATGTCCTTGCCCACCCTAAAAAATGATAAATCGAGAATATGCTGGAAAGTACAGAGATTTCGGGAGGGGGTGTGCTTTGCGCCCCTCTAGAAACAATCCTGGCGACGCCCATGAACATACAGAGTATTCATTTGATCTGAATTGGAATTTTTGCCTCGTCATATTCTCAAGATTATATTTGGAGACAAAAGACCAACTTTGCCTTTCTACCTTTAGATAATTGCGGCGAGGATACCGTGCTTGTGGATTTTCTACCAGTGAATTTCTCATCGCCAAACTACCCGGCCAATTACCCTGCTGCACTTGACTGCACGTGGACCATCACTACTTCGTGGTTTCTCGTGATTTTTGTCCAAATCGAAGATTTTTATACCGAAGCTCTATACGATGTCGTGCAATTTCAAGGTCCCACATTTTACGGAGACTTGACTTCAGATTTCAAGATGGACGGCACAACAAAAGTTCGCAGTATGGTCTTCAATTCGTCGTCAATGTTTATTAAATTTACATCAGATACTGCTAGGGAAAGGAGGGGATTTCGAGTGTCGATTGAAAGCAGCTTTCCTTTCGAGAGTAAGTATTAACAGGCTAGCTTTTATTCTCGAGCGTGGTGAGGCTTCGTGTCTCCTCCTTTCTTGTTTGAAAAATTAGATGTCGAAATTTTCCCCTCGAGAATTTAATGAGTAATAACACCTTAGAACAATGATCTTGTACTTCTGCTGTACTTAGAAACTTTCAATGTCAAATGACCAATGAATCTAAGAATGTATGGGACAACATCCTGTGGGCTGCATATATGCAAGGTTGTGCTCTTGAGGCAGACACAATACACACTGTAAACATGCTCGCTGTGTGGGCGCAGGTAAGTAGAAGGAACAGCTAATGGAGTTATACGCGTAGAGCACAAATTGAACATCCATGAGATTAATACAAGAACTATAAATGTGAAAAAAACCCTCAAAACGTAGCGTTGATAATTAAATAGTGATAATTAACTAAAAATTAAGACGAATTGAGAATTAAGCAATGAATATGTAAAAAAAAAAAAAAGACGCTCCAGAGCGATCGGGCATGCACATAGTCCTTTACCATAGGGCATTTGCACAACTTAAAATGTCGTTCCCCTAATATTAATATATTGGAAGCACCAACAGCCGTACCAATTTTTAGCCCTCGTTTTTCAATCCGTCAATTGAACTGTGATGGTGGAAATGTAATCAAACAGCATTGTAGGTTATATGACTACCAATCTTTGTTATCAGATTTTTTTTTCTTTGGGCGTCGGTGTCAAAGCAGTAGTACCCCAACCGAATTGATTTTTCAATTAATGCAATTCAATCAGTCAGTGTGATTCCTAATAAGGATTTTGTATGTCACTATAGTAAACTAATGCAACTGAACTAAAGGGCCAAATTTATTCACAGAACGAGATGTCTTATCTCTTTACAACGTACAGATTTTACTTGGTGCGATGTAGATGAATCGTCAGGTGAAGACTGTGAAACCATGCTCATAGGTACGTTTTTGTGCACCATGTAATTCAACCAAGACGCATGTTTAAACACACATGTTTACGTGACATGCGAAGTGTGGACATTCCTTTGTTTCGTGTAGTTAAGAAAAACCTGTAAAACAAAACATTTTTACTCACCTTTTTACCCAATTTTTCTTCCTATTTTTCCCCTTAGTGTTTCTCTTTCATTTTGCCACGGATAAATCTAACCCCAAAATGCCTCTAAACCTGTTTTCCAGAGAGTGGGAAACACTGTGGGGATGTGGGCAGTGAATGTAATGCTTGTACACATCTTTGTATAAACACCGGAAATCGTGGACACTCTATTCCTCATTCCTTGTTTGCTTGTTTGCCCCGACCATTTTGTCCCCAGTCTAGTCCACGATTGCCGGTTTTCTTACATACTCACCCACACACACATTTTCGTGGTGAGGAACGAAAAAAAGTCGAATTTTGAGGTATTTTTCCTAATTATTAAACCAAAATGTATTCAGTAGCACTGAAAATGGAGGAAAGGGTGCAAAGCTTTAAATGCAAACGACATTTAATATGCCTCTTTAATTCTCTTCTCTTTCATTCTGAACAGAGGAAATCCCGGTGTCGTGTGATATGCACAACAATAGTCTTTTCGACTGTAAAGACGGGTCGTGCGTGATTCCTGAAGCCAGATGCGATGGGTTTACAGACTGTAACAGCGGACTTGATGAACAGAATTGTGGTAAAACTGTTATTTTTCTAATCTGGAAAAGGGTGTTCTTGTGGCAGTGATTGATCACCAGCACAGCAGTGTACAGGTTTTGGTTATGTTTCCCAATTCTCACGAGTTTCCGATTTTCTTTTCACGTCAATGTGTGTGCAAACCTGTCAGGCATATAGGATCATTTACTGTTCATGCATTTTGCTCGTTTCCAATAATAACACCACTCATCATCCAAACAAATATGATCAGAAACTTACCTGTTGAAATTTCAGCCCAATGGACATTACACTTTTTGAGCAAGCTGCGAAAAACAACTTTTTGATCACGAAACACGATTTTGTCAAAAGCTTTATTTATTCAAAAAATCAGTCAATTGACTACAGTCACCTAGGCGTACATTTTCTTAATTTCTTCATAATGACGGCCAGCCAAACGGAATATTTTCACGAGGGTGTTTAGTACCAGTACGAGTTTCAGTCAAAGTAAGCTGTTTGATAATTCGGTAGGGTACTCTTATTTCCATAATAAAATTGTTTCCAGAAAAAAAATATTTCCAGAAAAAAACCCGAAACATTTCTGCTCCCCTGGTAATATACACGGCCTGACGCTGCCATTTGCAGCAAAAGGCCGTATCATAATAGTCACTTACTTCTTTCATTTCATGTCATTTAAGGCCTGTTCAACCGATGCGTAAGTGTGACGTCATCTCAACTTAATTATGCTTACTGCAAACGGTGTAGCATTGCACCAGTGCATGGAACATGAAGTTAACGCAACTTCGTGTTTATCCAATGGGTGCTTGTAATCAGTGGTGCGTGCGCGTGTATACATTACGAAGTCTTCTCCAAGCCTCTTCCAAGTTCTGTGCCAACTTCATATTGTTGAAGACTAAGGCACATTGTTGGGCGTCTAACTTGTGGATGGAGTGCATATCACTTACGAACCGGATACTGGAAGCGAAGCGAATTTCATGACGACAATGATCGTTTCATTGTGACGTATACGCCGTTACCCTAAGAATTTGCTTTGTTGAAGACTAAAGCACATTGTTGGGCGTGCAACTTGTGGATGGAGTGCATATCACTTACGAACCGGATACTTCACACGAAGCGAAGCAAATTTCATGACGTCAATAATCGTTTCATTGTGACGTACGGCGTTACCCTAAGAATTCGCTTCGCTGTCAAATTCGCGTGAAGAACGAGTCCAGCTTTAATTAGTCATTCATAAATACCTAACACAGTTAACCCATTTCTATAAGTCGAGAGCCCGTCACGTGGCCGGTTTTAAACGGTTGATAAAAATGACCGGCTGGCTGGTCTTAAACACTTTTCCAGTGTCACATGAAATTTGGTCTCCTATGAAATCCGGTGCATTTTACCGTTTTATCTGTTGAACGTTCACGATCCTCCAGTAGGCATGCACAATACGGGGAGTAAGTCGGTTTTTCATAGTCTAAAATTCAAAATTCACCGGCACAGCTGGATTCTACAGCACATCGCGCAGTACATCGCGCAGCCATAATATAGGGAATTGCTTACCACTTTTGGCGAGATGGACACACAATAATATAACTAAGGGGTGTTTCGAAAAACACAAAGTCAAATTGTTGAACAAAATCGTTGTATTTTTATAATTGTTGACTTGTTTTGACTTTTGGATCGAAAAGTTCGGCTCGGGTAATTACCAGCATCCAGACTCCATCCAACCTGTTTTAAACACTGTGTCAGAGCCACCCAAGAACATCTGCAGTCGAACGTCCTTGTTTAAAAACGGTTATATTTTTCAACGTGGTGTAAATTACTGGAACAGTCTTGGTGAATCTAAGGAAAAATCACCATCACAGACTATATTTTTGTCCAAAAACTTCTTGTTACTATTTATAGCTTTAATGTTTAATTTATTTCGTATTGTTATGTCTTAGTACCTGCATGCACACTCATATGCTGTTGTAGTCCTTTGTCCTGTCTGTCCCATTGTCTGTCCCTAGGTTAGGGTACAAAAGCATCTTTGCTTCACCAAAACCTAAATGTTGTCCTTTGTGTACTTATTTGATATAAAACTTTACTGACCTATAATTATTGTATTTAAACTTATTGTAAACACTGTACAATTCCTTGTCCAAGGACAGCATTGAACTAAATGTATAATGCAATCAATCAATTCAATCAAATAAACTCAAATTCTCTGGTATTGATTCGCAACATGAATATTGCCTGATCAATTTTTATTAAATAAACTGTTTCCACGACATTTGGGCATAACTCAAAATCAGACTTATTGGCACGTTGCCTCACTGCAAACGTCCTTTTCATATTTTTTTCGTCATGACTTCGAGAGTTGAGAAAAACTTGACATCAAAATGGTTTAACTTTGGTAGGATAATGATGGAGAAAAAGGTCCGACTTGGCCTAAGAATCACTTGCCTTTAATGCCATCGTCCGAAAGTCTGTATTGTGTCCAGACTGAACTTCGTACAGAAATGATGAAGGTCTTTGAGACGTACTATTTCTTATGATGCTTTGTTTTGACAGAAAATATACACTGCCCCGAGTTTTACGCGTGCAATGTATCCAGTAAGTGTATCTACTGGCAGGAAGTATGCGACGGCACGGCCGACTGTGGCTCTGGTGACGACGAGATTGATTGCGGTAAGTCTCGTTGCCTTGATATCAATTTCAAACACAGTCCAAAGTTTCAAACAGCAGAAATCGATGGATGATAAGAAAAATATGGCCCTTAATCATCCTCAACTTTTTTGTCCGGCGAACATAATATTTTTAATATACACTCATTAACACGTAAAAATCCCAGCAGTACGTATCAAATTCAATCCGGCCAAAATCCGGGTAAGATTTGACCCGGCACGCTTTCTGGTCAAAATGAATTTGTCTGACACACTTTTTCTCGGGCCATTTGTCACGTAAAAGTGTCATTTTGACACGCACACACATTTTTAGACACTTTTGTTTTACTATACTCTCGAGGACAATACTTTGTGTTTCCCTTTGTCACTGTAATATAACACTCTCACATAGACTAAGCATACAAACTTACTATATACCGAGGACTGTTTCCAACAAAAGAACAAGTCCCGAGGACTGGAAGGATCTGTTGTTCCCCCTTTGTGTGTCGGTCCTCGGGGGTTATGTAGAACACGTACATTTTGGCCTCTGTCATGTTAAATCTGATCCAGATTTGGGTCGAATTTTATCTGGGACTTTTAAAAATATATAGGCCCTATAGTTTACAAGTGCATGAGTGCCGCCAAAGTAGCTCTGTTTAGTAGTGATTAAAATCAAGAGATTATTGGCGCGCTTAATTCATTAATTCCCGCATATTCTCGTGTGTTCTTTGAAAATTTAAAAGATATACTCGTTGATAAAAAAATAGAGCAATACCATGTGCATTTCAATCCGTGTATTCACACAGTCGTGCGTGAAAATACTCAACTTGTGCTTCTGCATTCCAAGTGGTGGCACGGTAGCAGATCAAATCTCAATATAATGCTGAAGACCAATGTTAAGGCCAAAAATAAAAAGTCTCCGGCTTCTGGTATGCGCGCGCGTCGCCGTTACCATGCGCGTCGGCAAAACTCACTGAAAACCGCCAAACTCACTAATTTGACTGGAATCCTGCTGCTGCACAATTTTAGCGTGCTTTTAGATGGGGTTACGATCGAGTAAAAGCTTTATGTGGCCTCTGTAGACTCCCATATATTTTGCACTAAATTTAGTCTGGTAGCATTGGCAGTCATCAGCCGACATTGGAAAGAAAAAAAAGTAAAAAAAAAAAACAAAGCCGCGTCGCCGCACCACTTTAGGGACAAGCATTATACCAGAAACCGGAGACTTTTTGTTTTTGGCCTAAAAGTCTTTCAACGTTTGGATTCATTTGTAGTTAACAAGCGCTGCCCTAACGGCTGTAAGTGCAGCTATGACGTCGACGATTTCCATGTTCGGTGTCAACAAGGTTGGAGTCAAAACACCCTCGCCAACACTGCAAAAAGGACAGGGGCTCTGTGAGTTGTACACTATGTTATGTGTTTGGTTTAACATTGTTTTTTGTTTTAAAATAAATATTCAAATGCATATGGAATGCATATGCAAAACTAACCTCCCGATTTATTATCAAAAGCTTACTTGGATTAAAGATCGCCAGGGACTCGACTTAACACCTGTACAATTATTCCGTTTGGCTTACTGTCATTTAGAAGAATTCAATAAATGTAGGTGATTTTCAACCATAAGATAGTCAAGTAATTGATTTTTTGGAAATGTAAAATCTATTGGTGAAATCATGTTTCGTGATCAACGGGTTGGGTATGGTTTTTCACTGTTTTCTCAGAAAGCGTATCCACTGAGCTGACACTTCTGCAGGCTAGGTTTTGAACTTCGTACAATGAATTTCGAGTCGTGTTATTATTGGAGACAAACAATATGTATGAAAAGGAAAGGATCCTATGTGCCCGTACACTTTACACTAACATGTAAATGACATTGTTTTAACAAAGATGCACATTATGCAGTGTTCTGCTTTATGTAAGAATAGCAAAGCTGCCCAATAAGCCAGTTAGGTATATCGATGAAGTAGTCTAGGTCAAAGGTCATTCGGGATAAAATCGCTGACGTGATGATACGCGATGTTACGCGGACGCCCTTTCTGGTTGTAGGCCGCTAATAAGCCATTGATCTCCAGTAGTAAGACAATTAGCGCACGACCGTCTCCGCACGCGTTCATATCCCGAATGACCTGTGACCCATATCATTGTGCGCATGTGCAGTTGAAATACCGGACTGGCTTTTTTGCCGATTATTGACACTGTCTAAGCAATTCTTCGCTTGTTTTTTTCCCTTTCAACGGTCCACAGGGAACTTTCTCATGGTGACATCCGTACCCTTGAGTTGGGTGCTTTCAAAGGGCTGCACTATCTCCAGGCGCTGTGAGTAGAGTTTTCAATTATCGTCAAAACGAACGTTTATGCCGAACGACAAAACATTGAGACAAGTCAAGAATCAGCATGAGAGAGGGCTTACATTTCTGGTCCCAAACTTAAACCCATTAACATGATGAGTTTTGTGAATATCAACTCACATCCAGTTTAAAAAAAAATCATTATTTCCGGCATTCTTTCTTTCTGTCTCACAGATGAATATTTATCATTTCAGGTACCTGACAGATAACAACATACAACAGATAGACCAAGGTGCATTTGCTGGGCTGAATATTACATACCTGTAAGTAGTAAATGCCGATATCGCCACATCAGACGAATTTACCGAAATTGGGAAGAATTAGAATGCTACAAATGTGAATTATATATACTGCACCTTTAATGAAATCCAATTATGGCTATTCTTTGAAAAGGGATGGCTAACCTTTTAAAAACTTGGCGTTTTTGTGTTATTTCGTGCCAGAACGAATTTCGGGGTCCACTTTTGCGACCTCAAAATATCGGGTTGTTCGTAAAGTGTACGCCTTTTTCGGACGTGTAAGAAACCACATTGTGCATTGGTGCTGTGTGTAATATGTAAATGACCACAAAACGTGTACATTACAATACATTGAATTAAAACGACAGGAAAAACGTATGCGTACTCCGTCGTGTCCGATGTAAACAACCGGAGACTTAATTAATGTACAGGCACTTCTGATAATATCGATACATACTTTTATAGTATATAAATATTTGCTTAGTAATATTGTTCTCAATTCAATACTCATCCTTTCGAATTTCAAAGCATCTGTACTCGGAGGGATTGTTTAGTTCTATATGCGTTTATTTCAGCAAAGGCAAAAAGATATTCAGTTGAATATCCTTTTTTTCACAGGGATATTTCTAACAACAATATAACAAGGATTGATTCGCCCATCTTTTACGAATTGGAGCAACTCGAAACATTGTAAGTGACACTTTCATTTCATTCGAAGGGAGTGACGTGACTATATTATTTGATGGGGGACGCCACGCCACTCTTCTATTGCATACTGATGACCTTTTTTCTATCCGATGTGACATATTCATGTTTTTATCCCAAGGCTAAATTTGCCATCTGCAAGACCAAACGTAATAAATGGTACATGCCGATAATATTTGTCTAGTTTAGCGTATTTTTGTGCATTCGATCGGCTAGCTCTCATTGCATGTGTTACTACTATCCAATAAATCCCTCCAACTTTCGGGGCGTCATATATTAAAGTGTATTAAATTTTGACTACTTTTCTTTTCCTTCCTTTCCATACAGGATGATGGTAAATGTTCCCATCAGGTCTATTTCTGCGGTTGCTTTTCTGGGACTATCAAGTCTTAAAACACTGTAAGAGAATTGCTTCCTTCTTACGCTTATAGTTTTACCTGCGCCTTTATGGTGTGCTTTTCTGAATTAGAATGGGAGACCTTATTCACAAGGACGCTATTTTGTTCGTGTTCCCTGAATCAGTTTTATACATTGTAAGCTATTTTATGATTGGAGTGCGTTCCAAGCTTCACTTTCCTTTTTCATTAATGTGGCTTAAAATTGGGATATATATGTTTAAGCACAAATTTTAAATTATTCATCAGAGCAGACATGTGTTATACTTTGTAATGAAGTTGTATTTCATTGCTTTCATTTTTACTCACATGTTCCTAAAATGAAGAATTTACCTCGCTTTTGATTTAGTGTAGCCGACTCGTATATATAGTTGTGTACAATTTGTGGAGTGTATTAAGCAGGCTTCCGATTCGAAAAAGAAAACTATGTTGCATCAACACTTGGACACGGGGTTTATGTGTGAAATTCGCGACTGGAACAAATATATGGTGTGCAATTCATGGGTCTTCATTTCAATTAGAAAATCAAAAACGTCGATAAAGGTTATTACGTACTAACAAGTCCTTTCAAAATCCACCTTGCTTAAAATATATAGGGCCTGTAGATTAGGATTCTTTAAATTCATTAAATACTATAGCTGCATAAAAACAACATCACTTGTAATTTTCTTTGTCTCCGAAGCAAGAAAATACGCAAGCAAAATTCACAAACATATTAAATAAATGATGTCTTTTGGGTTTCTCAACAACTTTTATAGTGTGATCATAGCCAAACTACGAGGCGACATGTTTATCGAGGTGGAAAAGGGAGCGTTTCAAGAGTTAAAGTCGCTGCAAACTGTGTGAGTAAATGAATATAATTAACTGCTTTCATCAACTCTTTAAATCCACTTACAAATGATAGATGTTACCCTCACTGTAATTCTAGGCATCTGGTGTGTTTTTAACAATCCTTTTTCCGGTTTTACCTTCCCTTTCCTTCATGACATCCAAACACTCGCTTTTATTTTATTTTGATGACGGTAAACATGTTATACTTAATTTCTTAGACTTAATAGTAGGCCTACGTAGTTCCCTGTCGACAGGTGTTTCGTGACCAGATTTAATTAATAGCCTTTTTGTTTCAACTCTGTTCGCTTCATAGGTATGTTGACGACTACCGTTTATGCTGTGATTTTGTAGAGTTAGAACATTTCTCGGTCGAAACAGACTGCCGTACTACCGAGTTGCAACCACCACTAAACCTGTGTGGAAGTCTTTTGCAGAACCACGTGTTGCGCGTGGCTTTGTGGGTATTGGGGTTGAGCGCCCTCTTGGGTAATGTAGTGGTTATCATTTGGAGGATAAAAGGCGCAGGTGGTAGAGGAGGTAAGAAGACGCATTCATTTATGGTGTTGAATCTGGCTATTTCGGATTTCATGATGGGTGTGTACATGCTAATGATAGCAGGTGCTGATCTTTCTTATGGCGAGGCATACTTCCGTACTGCTAGCGTGTGGCGGTCCACTGTGGTTTGTAAGATAGCCGGAGTGATATCGGTCTTGTCCAGTGAAGCATCAGTGTTTTTCGTGACACTCATCAGCATCGATTGCTTCCTGTGCATTGCGTTTCCATTCAGTCGTGGTATCCACCTCCAGGATAGATCGACTAAAATTGTGGTAGGTTTACTATGGTTTGTGGCTGTTTGCTTAAGCGTTGTTCCTACAGTCTCTGTTGGACCAGATTCTGATCTGTATGGACTCTCTGATGTCTGCATAGGACTGCCTTTCACCACCAAAGCGGCCGGGGCTGACACCATCCAAGCTGAATTGAACACCAACAATCCCCTAGGAAGCCAACAACTTACTCTTAATGTTGGTACTGACAAGAAACCCGCCTGGATCCTGTCTGTGGTTCTGTTTCTTGGTGTCAATCTGGTTTGCTTCTTGGTCGTCTTTTGTTGCTACGTGGCCATATTTGTCAGTGTTAAAAGGTCGAGTAAGCTGGTAAGAAAGAGCGCTCACCGAAACCGCGAAATCAAAATGGCCGTCAAGATGGCGGTGATCGTTGGTACGGATTTCGCTTGCTGGATGCCGGTGATCATCATGGGAATTCTCTCTCAGACTAACACGATTGACATAGGAGCAGATATGTATGGGTGGATTGTTGTATTTATCCTACCAATCAACTCCTCACTTAATCCGTACCTGTACACGATTTACTCGGCTTGCACGCCTCGAGCCACTAGCAATAGTAACTCTATAGACAAACCTGACAAAAAGAATCGGAACACACGCTCGGTCGAAACATTGGATGTCTCAATGTCTGAACTCAAATAAAAATATGCAGACGCAATGTGACATGTTCAGAATTTTGACGTAAATGACATTTTAATGTTCAAAGTCTCATGTAGTATCGTTGTAATCGTAAAGAGTACATACTTAGACTGAAAATCATGATGTTTGGAATAAGTTTTTTGTCAAAAAAAATCGTACTAAAATCACACAACATAGCAATTTAATTAAACATACATACAGTTAGTGGCAATGTTTAGGATGTACATGTACAGTCTACATATATTTCTGACATTGATTGTTTGTATTGATATTTTACTAGAAACCAGTAAAATATCTTAATTTAAATGATGCAATCAAGAAAAGAGAAATCAAGTCATTTAAAAAACAAGGCTCAAACTGCAAGATGCAAGGAAATTCAAGCACGATGAGGAAACGTTTTGAAGTACAGTGTATTGTACATGTAAATTTGAGAGTTATCTCTGCCTATATTTGTATGATGGCATGTTTTCAATTTGGGGAACCTGTTAATCTGTTTTGTGGAATTTATGTATATAACCAGTATCTTTTAAAGTTGAATCATTAGTAAAATGTTAAAACTGGGATTGAACCCAACAACTAGATTCGAGAGACTGTTTCAAAGCAAACCCCGTGAAAAACACACGCAGTTTTCTACTGAAATTTTAAGAACCTCTACTCGAGAGTCAGAACTCTGGAAAAAATCTGAATGGTGACAATCATTCTTGCCGGAGATGATGTGTTTTAATGGGTTTGTTTCTGTCATTTTGTGAATTTAAATATTTATACAGCTTTCTGAAGATTAGAATATTACCTTATTTGTATTTCGCACACTTTTCGATCATCATTTTGTGACCTACTATAATAGTAATGTATTAAAAATTGGTGTTTATATTTGTTAGTGTTTATGCAATTGCATGTATGCCAACTGTAAGTAATTCTTTAAAGCATTTAAAGCATCTTAACTCAGTAGTTGCAGAGCTTATTCCAATGACAAGATCCAATATATTATTCTTGAAAAGACTATTACTCTGTTTCGGTGGCCTCCGCTAAAAAAACAGTGCAAAGATTTAGATTGCGAGGTATCATTTTGTATGCATATTTGCCCTGAATAAGACTAAGAGCCACTCCAGGTACAAGCTACAATATAAATTAAAAGAAGAGTACATGTAGTTACTCAGCTCAGTTAACTGAAGGTGGGAATTAATATTCCTCTTGAAACAGGACGGATGGTAGGTGGAGAAAAACATGCTTTAATCAAGGAATTCCATTGAGATGCAGCACGTGGTAAAAAGCTATTGGAATATCCTTTTGTTCTTTTTAGTGCATCTGTGTACTGCTACAGTATGGATAAGAACAGGCAGAGTGCCGAGTTTGGACAGAACAGTGGAGTAGTGACCTTGAAAATATCTGCTTTGTGAAATGTATAATACTGAATAAAATGAATTAGAGTGTTACTATGCCTTTACGTATAATGTACAGGGTTATAAAAGAAATTAAAAGAAGAGTAGGTACTCAGGAACTGAACATAAGGTAGGAATTAACATTCCTCTTAGAACAGGACAGATCATAGGTTGGAGGGAAACAAGCACCAGGCAAGGAATCCCAAAGAGATGCAGCACGTGAGAAAAAGCTATTGAAATATCCTTTTGTTCTTTTTAATACATCTGTGCACTGCTACAGTATGGATGAGAACAGGCAGAGTGCCGAGTTTCTCTCTCAAATACTCTGATTGGAGGAACTAGGTGGGGCAGACCAGTGGAGCATGAGACCATGAAAATATCTGTTTACTGAATTGTATAAAAACACTAAAACAAATTGAGTGTTATTATATAAACATGTATATCTTAAATGGCTAAATATTTGTTCATGTTTTTAGCAGATCTTTATCTTTCAATCTTACATGTACTTTTTATTATTGACAGTTCATAAACGCAAATTACGTATGAAGAATGTGTTATTATCATTATTTTTCCGAACACAGAAAGTCCTTTTTCTTTTGTGTAATACAAACGGTAAAACTAAGCACCATCAATCTATAATAAACGACAAAATGTGATCTACGAACTCCCATAGGGGCCGTCCTCTCTTTTGACGTCACGATCATCGCCGACCGACAGGTTTTTAGATATGTAGACGTCACACCTGAACAAGCGAAAGACCATGGCCCAGTCGGTAGACTACTGAGTGCCAAACTTGAAGTAAAGGGCTCGAACCCTCTGTCGTCCTCTCCGACTTCCATTTTCTTGACATGTTAGAATAATATCAACAATGATCTTGATATTATTGTTCTGTTCTCATGCATAAACGTACTGGCCCGATCGAAACTATTATTAATGACTTGGCCCCATTCGTCTTTGGAATAAAAATTACGCCGACCGACGTGGTTTACAGGTCCGTTCGATTAGCTTACACGTGTAATAAAAACTTTCACGAAAGCGTTCGATTAGCCATCACGTGTTCATCGTGTGTGCTGCGGTGTCAACCCCCACTGCCCCTCGCGAACGGGTCTCTGGTAGCTACCAGAGAGTAATGACGTGGACGATTTCCTGGCTAGCTAGATTGAAGATGGCGGGAACTTGAATACGAATTGAGAACAATGGAGTGATTTATGACACAAATATTCCAACATATTAACGGTGTTCAATAATAGAAAAGATGTTTGTTTGGATAATTCAGATACCGGCAATTATGATTGATCCGGATGAAATGATAAAACAAATTCCTTTTTACCTGGAGAGCAGACGACAGTATGCCAGGTATGTTAAAATCTTAAAATTCCGGCCCGTAACAGCCTTTGACCTTGAAAGTCCCAGAATGCCAGGTGAATACACTGCAGTGTTCCATTAGCCTTATTTTGTGGTTTCATAGAGTGTAAACCCCGTGTATACACGTGTAAGCTAATCGAACACAGCCATAGAAATCACACCTGAATAAGTCAGGCAACCGATGACCCAGTCGGTAGACTGCAGAGTGGCAAACCTGGGAGTCGGAGGTTCGACCCCCGGATTTATTTATTTGCAGTCTTATTTAAACAGGGTGGCCTCTCCTCAGTATAAAAAAACCTGCTTTCCTTGAGGGCCATGTATTAAAAAAAGAAAGAAATACTATAAAACAATTAATTAAAGTGATATTTAAAACAAATACTGTACAGTTATTCAATCATAAACATAAATTAATGATTTTCACAACCAACGTTAACTGTTTCTTTCTTGAAAGGCGAAGTGCACGGGACGACGACGACACATGACTTTAACACCTGACAACGACAGAATCTCAGGTCTTCTCTTTTGACGTCACCACGGGTAGGCGGGTGAAGCGGTTCATGTTTAGTACTTTCGATGGGAAATTATGTATTTCATGAAGAAGAAAAAATGACGTCACACCATTGTTATTATTAAGTCATCTGGTTACATTAACGAACGGCTGTTGCAAGCTGCCACAGACTTAACAAAAGCACCTTATAATGTTGCAGGCTTCCACAGTAGCCTTGTGGATATTGAGATGAACCATGCATACAACTGAAAGATCTCTGGTTCAAGTCCACCTACAGCCTACTTTTTCATCGACTATTTTTTTCTTTTCCAATTTATCGTTGGGATAATCTTAGTTTCAGGGGAAAAGTCCGAGAACCTTGGGGCGTATTCGAAACCCCATTCTCGTGTTGAATGGAGACGAGAACGGGATTCCGAATGACGAGAACCAACATGTGAGCTAACACTCAGTAATTGTTTGGGTTAGAATTTCTGCTAAATTTTACCAAAACTTGGGTTGATACAAGACCAAAATGTAGTTATAACTACATTTTGTCTTGTATTAACCCAGGTTATGATTAAATTTAACAGAAATTCTAACCCAAACAATTCGGTAGGCACAACCCAATTTTTGGTAGTTGCAGTTTGCACTCTTGCAAGGGTTTGGGTAAAACTAACCCAGGCAATTGCTCAGTGTGTGTATCCGAGAGTAAGATATTCCCGGGGTCTAGAGGGATAGGACGACGACACCTGAGCTATGACAGCCACATCAGGGCCAGACTCTCTGTGTACGTCAGTACTATGACCGACCGAAGTATAGTCGGTATAGAGCGCTGGTATCTGGATTCATTGACTGCCAAACCTGGGGATGGCATGAACCAACACACAAGACCCGGTAGTGATGACAGCATCTCAGAGTCAGCAGTCTACTCGCGTAAAACCAACCATTCCTTCAACATCAAAGAAGTGGTAATTTTGGACGGAGAGGACAAGTGGTTTGAACGAGTTGTAAAAGAAGCAATCTGGGAGCGAGTGGGGGAACCTAGGCTTCACAGGAATGGAGGATTGCGCTTCAACCTGTCCTACGCGTGGGACCGGGCCGCGATTTTTTTCTCTCCCAAATGACATAAAAATATGGGTGTACGCTATGGCGTTTTGGACTTAACTTTTATAAAAACATGAGAAGAAAATATAAAATTAGAAAAAAAAGTGAATTTTAACGTTATGAAATTCGGACTTTATTTCCCTTTAAAAAAAAATCCACTAAACCCTCAGGTTAAAAAGGAAAAATATTCGGGTGCAAAACCGAGTTTTGAACCCGCAACCTCGCCGTGCCAAATCCTACCCTCTCTCGACAGAGCTGTCGCACTGTCACACGCGGGGAACCAAAATACCATATTTTTATGACATTTATTGTGTTGTGTTGACATTTTACTTAAAATTAAGTAAAATATCTGAATTTAAATGATGCAATCAAGAAAACAGAAATAAAGTAAATGGTCAAATCTCAAGATGCAAGAAAGTTTAAGCACAATGTGAAACGTTTCTAAGTACGGTGTATTATTCTTGTAAATCTGAGAGTACTATCTACATATTAAATACATTTGTATGATAGGGTTTTTTTTGTACCCTGTAAATCTGTTTTGTAGAATGTATGAATATAACCATTATCTTTTAAAGTTGAATTATTGGTAAAATGTTTAAACTTGGATTGAACCCAACAACTAGATTTGAGAGACTGTTTCAAAGCAAATCCAGTGAAAAACACACGCACTTTTCTACTAACATTTGAAGAGCCTTTCTTGGTTGAATCTCGAGGGTGAGAACTCTCGAAAGAATCTCTGAATTGGTGACATGTCATTCTTGCCGTCGATGGTGTGTTTCAATGGGTGTTTTTCAATGGGATTGTTTCTGTCATTTCATGAATTGAAAAAAAAATTGTACAGCTTTCTGAAGACGAGAATATTACCTTATTTGAACTTCGCACACTTTTCTATCATCATTTTGTGACCTAGCATAATAG